CCAGAAACGATCAGCAGGGGAGTTGGTGAATCAGGGGCGGCATGCCGCATGCAGTCGCGCAGCCGTCTTCGAGAACACAAGCATCACACATGGCTTCCCGCATTGAAGTTTAAGATGGAAACCAGTGCAAATTACGATGGTGCTTCGATGAGATGCGAGGGGTATTTCGATGACTCGTAATGGCTGTTGCACTGACTTGTATCTTAAACTCGCGTGCGTTCCGAAACTTGGAGGCATCTTGTATCCCTCTTGGGATTCTATTGGGCCCCTCTTGGGGCCTCCTGGGGCTCTTTCTTGGGGCTCTCCTGAGTCATCTTAGGGCCGTCTTGGGGCTTCTTGGGGCTCTATTGGGGGCTTATTGGAGCCCTCTTGGGGCTCTTTTGGATAGTCTTGGAGCCCTCTTGGGGCTCTTTTTGTTTTCGGGGGGGGGGGGGCTGGGAGGCCTCTCGGGCCGTCATGGTCCTTATGGCTAAAGACGTGGGTGGGTGGTGGGGTGGGGTGGGGTGGGGTGGGGTGGGTGGGTGGGGTGGGGGGGGTGGGGGTGGGTGGGGGGGGGGGGGGGGGGGGGTGGGGGGGGCAATTCTTGCCCCCCTCCCCCCTAGGATGCTCAAACATGCCGTATTAGGGGCCCTCTTGGCCCGCTCTTGGAGCGCTTCTGGGCGCTCTTGGGGCCGTCTCGGGGCTCTCTGGGGCCCCTCTTGGGGCTGTCTTGGGCCATCTTGGGGCCATCTTGAGGCCTCGCGAGCCCTTCGGAGGCGAAAAAGCGAGAAGGCAAAAACAATGGATTTTCCAGTTGAAGGATGTTGGCTTCTTTTTTTTTAGGGGGGGGGGGGTCTTTGGAGGCCTCGGAGGGCACTTGGCGCCGTCTTGGGGCCGTCTTGAGGCCTCTTGGGCGCGTGTCGGAGGCTATCTTGACCAGTCTACCATTATCTTGGGCCATCTTGGAGGCCATTTTGCGCTCTCGGAGGCCCTCTTGGAGCCATCTTGCGCCATCTTGGACGCGGCTACGGGCCCGCCCCCCCCCCGTCCAAACGCAGGGAGGGGGGGGCAAACCTCCCGAGCAGGGAAACGCAGGTGGTTGGAAAGGGAAACGCCCTAGACCACCTGCGCCCAGGGGGCTGGTGGGATTTCAAGGCGGCTCCAGTTGCGGCGACGGCCGAGCCCCAGGGCCCGGCGCGGGCCCGCAGAGGGCGCGATTCCGACATCAAAAAGGAAACGGCGCCGAATATGAGGAGGAGGATGAGGATGACGACGCCGACGACGACGACGACCCCGCGGCTGCACGCCAGGCGAGACATGCTCGGCATCGTGAGCCGCCCGCGCTGCGCGCGCTAGCCGAGCCTGTTTTTTTTTGACAGGGAGGTTGGCCGCCACCTCCGCCCCGAGCCGACGGGGGCCACGTGGTGGCGTAGGTTGGCGGTGGGCGGCGACGTCGACGAACGGCTTCGGAGATGGGCGCGCCGATCACCTCTACTTCGCCGTCGTCGTCGTCCACCGCCGATCTATGCCGCCGTTTCGTCGCCGTCACCGTCGTCGTCGTCGTCTACTGTCGATCTCCACCGCCGTTTCGTCGCCGTTGTCGTCGCCGCCGTTGTCGTCGCCATCGGCGACGCTGGAGCGGGCGGCGACGACGACGACGCAACGGCGGTGGCGATAAGCGGTGGGCGGCGACGACGGCGATGGACGGAGTCGAAGGCGGCGGCGGCGGCGAGGAGGCGGAAGCGCATGAGAACGAGGAGGAGGGCGAAGGGGGGGATGGGGGAGAGGGAGAGGGAGGATGAGGATGCGGAGGATGGGAAGGGCGGAGGCGCAGAAGGACTGGAGGAGGAGGAGGACGTCGATGAAGAGGAAGGGTGGGTGACCAACAGGAGCAGCAGGAGAAGGGTGAGCAAGAGGCGCAGGCGAAGAGCCCGGAGCAGGAGGATTAGCGGCGGCCCGCGACGACGGCGGCCACGGAGGCTCGGACGAAGAGCCCGCGCGCTGTCGTGACCCCATTCTCTGTCGGGCGCCTTCGCCGCCGTGGCTCGCCTGAGCTCTTCGCCGAATCTCGATGGCTCGCTTGAGCTCTTCGCCGAATCTCGATTTAACCACGACGAACGGAAAGTTCCCCCGCGTGACCGCCCCCGAACGCCGTTGGCGCCCATCGCAATCCATTGGAACCCATCGTGGTCCATCGCAGTCCATCGCTGAGCGATGGACTGCGATGGATTTCGATGGGCGCCCGGCGTTCGGGGGCGGTGGCGCGGGGGAACTGTCCGTTTTTCGCCCCCCACCCCTTGCGGGGGGAGAACCGCACCCCCTTTTCCTCGTGATTTCCTCTTTGCCAGCCTCCGCTCTTTCAGCTCGCTCACGCCGCGCCCCTGGCCGCGCGCGGCCGCCGTTTCAGGCCCGAGAGTTCCAGCTGCGAAGCGGGGGGCCCCCCCGAGCCCGGAGCGCTCCGATTTTAATGCGCCGCGCGGGGGAAGCCCGCAGCCCCCCCCCCGACGCGCGAGTCAGCGTCGATTTCTGGGGTCCCCAGCAATGCTGGGTTGCCTGGTGGCACGAGTGCATGGCTATTGCGTGGCGGCCTCTCAACGCGGAGGATTGGTCGGGCCCCCTTCCCGCCCCGAACGGCGGGGTTGGAGGATGGAGGGCGGGGGAGGGCGTTAGGGTTCTCATGTGTCACGCTGGATGCGCATATGGCTTCAGTTAGCGTCCCGCCCGCCCGACCCGCCCGATAGGGCCCGCCCGACAGACCCGCCCGCCTGTTAGGGTTCTCGAGAGTGAGAGCGAGAACGATACCGATAGCGAAAACGGTAACGATATCAAGATATCGCGGACGGGAGGGCCGGGGGCGGATGGGAGGGAAGGTGGAGGGATGGAGAGAGGCAGGGGGGGGAGATGGAGAGGGGAATGACAGATGGGCGGAGGGTGGCGGGGACGGGGGGTGGCCCGAACAATCTTCCAGAGGAGCACGCGCTCTTGGGGCGCCCTGATCCCAAGTACGCGCGCTTCCCAGTCGTCTCGTCTGACAGCCAGGGCCCAGAGCTCAACCGCGAGGAAATGACACAGCTGACGCCGTGCGAGAGAAAGAGGCTCCGTTGGTTAAGGATGAATGTGGAGGCCGATCGGCACCTGCGCTCCCGCGACATGTTAGTGCGGCCCGTGCGTTTCGACATCCAGGCGGAGGTCGATCGTCTCCACCGCACCCTGGCAGAACATAACAGCATCCGAATGGAGGTCCGAGGGGGTACCATTGAAACGGGGGATGGATGGGGGGTACGAGGAGGAATCAACAAAACAAACACGCATGCCTCCCAAGGGTGATCTGGTTGCATTCCTGAAGACGACTGAGCGCGACGCCATAGATGAGTTTGTCCGTCATCGTGACGGGTTAGACGCTAAGGTAGAGGACTAGGCACGGCGGCGAGAGAAGCTTCTGCGCTTCGCGCTCTCCGCCACGAGACGCTCGGGGGCCAGCTGGAAAAACCGCGAGACCGCGGCGCGGAGGCCGCCGCCGTCGCCGTCGCCGTCGCTGTCGCCACCGTCGTCGGCGAACAACGACAGCGACGACGACGGCGGCGGCGACGGCGACGGCGACGGCGGCAGCGACGACGACGGCGACGGCGGCAGCGACCTGGGCACCTCCAGGGACACAGGGACCTGCTGGCTGCTCCTGCTCAGCTGCCCCCTCCGTTTCGCCCTCCTGCTCCTCTGCCTCCTCTTCCTCCTTCTCAAAAGCCTCCTCCCCCTCCTCCCCGGCCCCCTTTCCCCCCTCCCCCCCCCCCTCCCCCTCCCCCTCCTCATCCTCCTCCTCCTCCTCCTCCTCCCCCTCCTCCTCCTTGTCTTCCTCCTCCTAGGCGTGGGCTCAACGTTAGGCCGTGTGGGCCAATCCGTTCCTCGGATTACAGCGGGCGCAGTGCACGCGCATGTCGACTTAAGTACCGCTTGTGTGTAGGTCAGGCGTGGGTCGACGCATGAGCATGCACTGATTGGCCCGCCCGTTCAGCGAAGCACACTGCATGGCAAGTGCCATCGCCGCAGCGTTCTGTCTACATTTCGCTACGCGTCATTACAAATAACACGCGACACTGAGTACATACACGTTTTCTATAAGCGATGAGAAAATCATAGAAAAATTTGGTTCCCAGACAGATCTGTTGATCTACGAAATAGATCCCAATTCGTAGATCTACCAGGTAGATCCTTGCAACCCCTGGGCTGACTCTCGGACCGTCGGCCAGGTCTCCAGCGACGCGCGGATTTTCCGGGTCTTCAGGGGCCTGCCGGTGGGTTGGAGCTGGTCGTTGCGGTTCTGCCAGCTCGTCACCGAGTCAGCTGAGGTGGCGGCCGTCACCCGGGTCGCAGGCGCCGCCTACCCGTGCGTGATCTCAGACAAGAGGCCCGCGTCGCCCTTTGCGCTGGGGCGGCCGCTGGTGCCGCCCTATGTTGACAATGCTAATATGTTTGGAGCTTGCGCCGCTGACGTCCGCGCGGCCCTCGACGAGGTCTGCGCCGAACTGGGCCGCGTGAACCTCGCCTTCCATGAGAAGGTAGAGCCGACCCGCCTTTATGAGTCAGTCGGCGTGGTGTTCGACGGGCATGCGCGGAAGTTGCGACTCACCGACGCGAGGGCCTGGAAGCTCTACCTGGGACTCCAGCACCTCCTCGGCGTGGGCGGCGCGACCGGCTGCGCGCTCCGCATCATCTACGGGCACCTTGTGAACCTCTTCATGCTGCTGAGGCCGGCCCTGGTGGCGCTCGACCTGGGCTGCCACTTCATCGCCGAGCACCGCGAGAAGTTCGCCAAGTTCGACTCCGACCTGATGGAGGAGCTCCGCGCCGCAAAGAGGTTGATTTTCTTGGTGGAGGTCGACCTCGGGGCCCCGTGGGCCCCCGCGGCGTACTGCAGCGACGCCAGCGCCTTCGGCTAGACTCCTTTCAGCGTTCGGGAGCGGTGGCGTTTCCTGGACGTGGAGCCCGATATCCCGCGCGGGTCTGGTGACGGCCCGCTTTCGGCCATGGGGGCCGAGGCGACGACCACCCTCGCGACCGGGCTCGTGGGCGACCCCGCCCTCGACTTTCACGACGATTACCGCGGCGGCGCCTGCCTGGACCGCCGACCCGCTCGGACTACCACCCTCGAGCTTGACGGGATCGTGCAGCCGGTTTCGGACTCAGTGGTCGACCGCCGCCGCTGGGCCTTTATCGTGCGAGGGGCCTGGAGGCACGCTGCACCCATCCACGTGAAGGAGGCGCGCACCCAGCTGCTGGGCCTGATCCGAGCCTCAAGGAGCACCAGGATGCATGGCCATCGCATCGGCAGCCTTGGCGACAACATGTCGGCCCTCCTCAGCTTCGAGAAGGGCCGCGCCCGCGACTCCGCCCTGCGGCAGCTGTGCAGGGTCGCCTCTGCGCGGCAGATCGCCACGGACATCCAGCGGCGGCAGCGGCACGTCGAGACGGACCGCAACCCGACGGACCACGACTCGCGAGCGGCCGACCAGGGCGAGGTGCTGCCGGGCCGGCCGCAGTGGGGGCCCCCCGGCGCTCTGGCCGCCATCGAGGCGCCTGGGGCCTCCACCTCCCGCCGAGGGCCTGAGAGCGGCCCAGCCGGCCGCGGGCCCCGCCGGGAGCCTGTCCGCGCATGGCGCCCGTCGGCGCCTGGCCCGCGTGGCAAGCTTGCACTCTCGCAGAGCCGGCCGCCGCCGACCCGTGCCCGCGTCGGCGCCAGCGGCCCCGCATCTGCCTTTTCAAATCCTGGGGGTCACCGAGAAGGTGGCCTCAGAGACGGCGAATCCTGGCGCCGCGCTTGCTCCGAGGGAGGCAAAAGAGAAGAAGTCTTCCCGCGCATCGTCTCGTCCTTTGGGGCTATCTCGTCAGAAGGCCTTCTGTGAGATCTTCGCGGGCTGCGCCCGGCTCACCGCCGCCCTCGGGGACTCGGGGCTCCTGGCCACGACCCCCCTGGACCTGGCGAACGGCCCGCGCTTCGACATCCTGGACTACCGGGTGTTCCGCGCCCTGGCCTCCTGGATCTGTGCTTGGAAGCTCTGGCGGGTGCACTTCGGGACTCCGTGCATTGCGTGGGGCCAGGCCACGGGGGCCGCTCGTCATCGCCATCGTCGTCAGGGCCTCCAGCTGGCCCGTCGTACCCTGGACCTCATGAGGCTCTGCAGAGACTTCAACGTGCACTGGTCCCTCGAGAACCCCGCGTCGTTGCAGCTGTTCCCTTGTGCCCCCTTGGCTTCGTTCATCTCCTCTACCGACTCTGTCAATATTCTCGTTCACTACTGCCAGTATGGCTGCACTTATCAGAAGCCCACGCTCATCGTTTCCGACCATCGTGATCTAGCTGCTATCGGACGGGTTTGTCCCGGGGGCCACCGACGCGAAATTTTCGAAGGCAAGGTCTCGGTCGCCGTCAATGGTTCAATCCAAAGCCGGTGGAAGACCTCTCTGGCCGGGGCGTACCTACCGGCCCTGTGGCGCGCCTGGGCCATGGTTCTGGGTGCCGTTGCGCCCTCCTGGGCCTGGCGTCGGCATGGCGATCCACCGGTCTCCGACGACTGGGGGGCTCACCTGGCGGCCGCTGCCGGGCGGCCCCTCAGTAGCCTCGTCCGGCCCTGGCCGCGCTGCCCGCGGGGCGCGTCGCCCGAGTGGCCACCCGACGCTCCGCAGTGGGGGGCCCGCTGGTCGCAGGCCCGAGCCGGTCGCGGGGACCCGCAGGCGATGGAACTACGTCGAGCCCGAGGTCTTGGCGGCCAGGAGGCGCGCCCGTGCTGTGCAGCAGCCGCGGCCTTACCTCCAGTCGCGCCAGGTCCGCCCGATCACCGCCAGCAGGTACCTCGACTCCTACGCGAAGTTCAAGGTCTGGGCGCAGAAGCAAGGCCGCCCATTGACGCCCCACGACCTCGTCGACCGCGCGATGGAGGACTACCTCGACGCTCTCTACTTCGACGGCAGGGCGCTGGCCGAGGGCCGCTACGCTGTGCACGGGACCATCCACTGCCTGCGGTGCCCGCGTCGGACGCCCCCCACGCTCCCGCTCGGCTGCGACGCGTTGGCGGGCTGGGGCCAGGCGGGCCCCGAGCGGGTCCGCGACCCACTGCCGTGGGAGGCAGCCGTGCTGATCGTCGACCACATGATCCAGCAGGGGCCTCTCGGCGAGGCGGCCGCAGGAACGCTCGCCACCAGCTTCGACGGGCACCTCCGGCCCTCCAGCGCGCTGAAGATCACTGGCGGCGACGTGCGCGCCGCCGCGGGCGTGATGGGCAGGGGGTCCCCTCGTGTGACGGTCACCATCGCCCCGCTCAGCGCCGACGACGGGGCCGAGCCGCGCCCGCGGCTCAAGAACAACGATCACGATATGACGCTGATCTTCGGAGACCAGGCCAGCTTGAAGGCAGGCCGCAGCTTCGTCGCAGACCTCCTCTTGAGGCTGAAAGCCCAGCGGCCACCTCACCGGCCGCTCTTCCCGCTGACGCTGGCCCAGTACGAGAAGTACTTCAATGCCGCCGTCCACGCCCTGCGCCTGACCCGTCTGGACACCGCGCCCCGCTGTGCCCGCCACGGGGGCCCCTCGGTTGACGCAGCGAAGGGCCTCCGCAGCATTCCTGACATTCAGAAGCGCGGGATGTGGCGGGCAGCGTCCTCTGTCAGGCGCTACGAGAAGGCTGGCACGTTGATGCGGCAACTAGAGAAAGTGCCGCGCGCCCTTTTGCAGTCCTTCCCAGGGAAGCTGGCTCAGCTCAAGGCCCGCCTGCTTCGCTGAATTGTCTGGCCTCAGTTTCCTTCGGCATCCTCCCTCTCCTCCCTACAGTCCATATTTATGGGATATGGGGTGTGCCATCATATCAGTTTGAGTGTGTGTGAGGCTACTGTTCGAGTATCTTTTAGTGTGCATCTCTGCCGGCAGATTTCTTCTGATAGCTGATGTCTGGTCTGCTCGCAGGCACGCTTGCAGAATCGATTTTGCCTCCGGCAAGCCTGTGGAGTGAAAAACGGAGTCTGCCTCTCTTTGTCAGCACTGGTGAGCGGTGTCGTCTGCCTTGTTGGGTTGGGCCATGATTTGTCTCTGACCTCGATTGGCCCCTTGCAGTGTAGCTCACCGCTTGCAGCGTGCTCGGAATCCAACGCTTTCCGTTCCGCTGCCTTTTAGCGGCTCACCCGCCCGCATCCACCCTATTGCGGGGGTGTGCCATCAGATCAGTTTGAGTGTGTGTGAGGCTACTGTTCGAGTATCTTTTAGTGTGCATCTCTGCCAGCAGATTTCTTCTGATAGCTGATGTCTGGTCTGTTCGCAGGCACGCTTGCAGAATCGACCTTGCCTCTGGCAAGCCTGTGGGGTGAAAAACGGAGTCTGCCTCTCTTTGTCAGCACTGGTAAGCGGTGTCGTCTGCCTCGTTGGGTTGGGCCATATATATGCATATATGTACAAATGTATGTATGTATATATATATATATATATATATATATATATATATATACATACATACATACACACACACAGGTTTAGGGGGCCAGGCCGCCAGGAGTGTGCCTGCGCCCTCCAGGGGGGGTCCGGGGCCCACTTTCCCTGTGTTTTTACAGGGCTTCTGCGTTCCATTTCCTCCGAGCTCGCCAGGAGTGTGCCTGCGCTCTCCATGGGGGCTCCGGGGCTCACCGACCCTGTGTTTTTACGGGGTTGGGGCGTCCTGGGCCTCGGGGGCCGCCGCCTCTGACACCCCATGGGAGGACGGGGCGGCCGGGGAGGGGAGGTCCAAAATAGTTCAGGAGGGCCTCCAGAGGCTCCCAAGACGGCCCAAGCGGGCCCCGAGTCGCCGAAAGACCGTTCCAGGACGCCCAAGATAGGCCCAAGACGGCCCGAGAGGCCCCCCAAGGCACTCCACGACGCTTCAAGACGCCTCTCCAGAGCGCTTCAAGAGGCCGAAATCGTAAATTTTACGAAGGTTTTCGAACGATTTTGGCCTTCCAGCCTTTTCGGCTGTCCGACGTTCCAAGACGGCTCAATAGGCCCCCAAGAGCGCCCCAAGACGGCCCAAGAGGGCCCCAAGACGGCCCCAGAGTCGCCCAAGACAGCCCAACAGAGCCCCAAGACGGCCCCAAGATGCGCCCAAGAGGGGGACCACGACTCCAAAATTCGACCCTCCCGCTTGAAGAGTGCCCCAGGAGGCCCCAAGGAGCCCCCAAGAGGCCCCAGGAGGCCCCCAAGAGGCACCCAGGAGGCCCAAACGATGAGGCCACAAAACAGCCCCGAGGAGGCCCCACAACGGTCCCAAAACGGCTACCGAGAAGCTGCGAAACTGCCTTCACGACGTCCCCGCAGGCCAACCACGAGATCCAAACCAACACCCATGAGGCCTCTGACCCACCACCCAGGGCACGGTGGCGGAAGCAGTGACAGCACTTGTGCACAGCATGTTCCGGCGGGAGCCTTCCGGAACACGCTGCAGGAGGAGGAAGATCAGGAGGAGAGAAAGGTGGAGTGGGAGGAGGAGGGGGGGGACGAGGAGGAGGAAGAGGCCTCCCAGACAGCTCCAAGATAGCCGAAGAGGCTTCCAAGAGGGCCCTGGGCGGCCCACGAGGGCCCCAAGGCGGTGCCTGAGGCGCCCAAGACGGCCCGAGAGGGCCCCAAGACGGCCCCAAGAGAGGCCCAAGAAGGGAAACACGAACCGAGAATCCGAGCTTTCTACCCCGAGAGGTTCTCGGGAAATCCCAAGAGGCCCCCAATCGGATCCAAGAGGCTCCCAAGAAGCTCCCAAGAGGGTCGACGAGGTTCCAAGAGATCTCCCAAGGTGGCCCCAAGAGGCACAACTCATTGTTTTACGATTGGGCTTTGACGGGTTTTAATTTGTTCTGCCTTTTGGCATCCCGATACTCCAAGACGGCCCAAGAGGCTTCCAATACCCGTCCCATATAGAGGAAGAGGCCTCCAAGAGGGCCCCAAGACGGCCCGAGAGGGCCCCAAGAGCCCCAAGAGAGGCCCAAGAACGGGAACGCGACCCAACAGCAGAGCGGTCCCCCCACAAGGCCCACAGGAGGCCGCAAGAGGCCCCCAAGTGGTCCGACGAGAACCCCTAGGAGACGTCCAAGAGGCTTTAAAATAGCCCAAGACTGCCCTCGATGCGTCAAAACTGCTTTCAGGACTCCCCAGGGAGGCTTCTGGATTGCCTCAATCTGGCCGCAGGTCGCCTGAAGTCGGGCCTCCACGCAGCCAAGACGGCCAATGACGGCTTCAGATTGCAGAACCGATGCCCCCAAGGGACCCTCAGACGCCCCCCCAAGAAGCACCCAAGAGGTGCCTCCAACAGCCAGTTGACGAAGCATGCGGAACACCCCAGAAGCTCCTCGGATGCCGTCGCGCGCCTGTGCTTGATAGCGTTGTCCAAGATCGTCCAGCGCCCCCCCTGGCCTGGGCTAGAACCTGAGCGCGCGCGAAGCGCGCGCGATGGTTCTAGCCCAGGGGCCCGAAAACAGCTGCCCGACCCTCCATGGGTACCGGGGCTCATTTTCGTTTAGTTTTACTGGGTTTCGGCGTCCCGGGCCTCGGAGGCCGCCGCGATGGTCCCGGACATTTTCCAGATCCTCGGCGCGGGCTCCAAGACCATTCCGCAGAGGGCCCCAACAGGCTCCAGGGCAGCCCAAGAGGGCTCCAAGACGGCTCCAGGAACGACTGCAGGGCCTCATTTTTCTTGTGTTTTCTGCAAGACGGCTCCAGGAAGACTGCATGTCTTATGAGGATGGCTTCCGCCTCTCGCCCCGAGCATCCCAAACTGCCTGAACGGTTCCCACTCGCCTTCCCCAAACCCAGCGCTTATCCAAGCGCGTTCCGGACGGTCTTCGCCGGAACGCGCTGGAATGATCACGCGCTGCGGTTTCCCATGCCAACGTCCTCGGACGTGGGCGCCCTGCCACGAGCGCGTTCCGGGAAGATGCTCCCGGACCGCGCTGAAAAGATATGGCCACATCTCGGGGACGCTCCCGGCACCGCTGCCCCAGCCTTTCCGGGCAGCCTCCACAGCGCTCCAGGAGGGCCCAAGACGCCCCCCAGGAGCCCCCAGAATGCGAAAGGATGGCCCAAGACGCTCATGAGCAGCCCAAGTCAGCCTTCCGACGGCTCTCGAGGCTCCCAGGTGGTCTCCAAGAGACCCCAAGAAGTCTGATAGGTATCACGGTACGGCCCGAAGAGGCCAAAGTCGTATATGTTCAACGGTATTTTCAATGTTTTTGGCTTCTTGCGTTTTCGAGCTTGCACGGGTCCAAGAGCGCCGAAGAGCCTCCATGGGGGTACCAGGGCTCATTTTCCCTGTGTTTCTAAAGGGTTTCCGCGTCCTGGGCCTCGGAGGCCGCCGCCTCCGACCCCTCATGGGAGGACGGGGTGGCCGGGGAGGTCCAAAATAGTCCAGGAGGGCCTCCAGAGGCTCCCAAGACGGCCCAAGCGGGCCCCGAGTCGCCGAAAGCCCGCTCCAGGACGCCCAAGATAGGCCCAAGACGGCCCGAGAGGCCCCCCAAGGCACTCCACGACGCTTCAAGACGCCTCTCCAGAGCGCTTCAAGAGGCCGAAATCGTAAATTTTACGAAGGTTTTCGAACGATTTTGGTCTTCCAGCCTTTTCGGCTGTCCGACGTTCCAAGACGGCTCAATAGGCCCCCAAGAGCGCCCCAAGACGGCCCAAGAGGGCCCCAAGACGGCCCCAGAGTCGCCCAAGACAGCCCAACAGAGCCCCAAGACGGCCCCAAGATGCGCCCAAGAGGGGGACCACGACTCCAAAATTCGACCCTCCCGCTTGAAGAGTGCCCCAGGAGGCCCCAAGGAGCCCCCAAAGGCCCCAGGAGCCCCCAAGAGGCCCCAGGAGGCCCAAACGAGGCCTAAAGAGGCCACAAAACAGCCCCGAGGAGGCCCCACAACGGTCCCAAAACGGCAACCGAGAAGCTGCGAAACTGCCTTCACGACGTCCCCGACAGGCCAACCACGAGATCCAAACCAACACCCATGAGGCCTCTGACCCACCACCCAGGGCACAGTGGCGGAAGCAGTGACAGCACTTGTGCACAGCATGTTCCGGCGGGAGCCTTCCGGAAGACGCTGCAGGAGGAGGAGGAGGAGGAAGATCAAGAGGAGAGAGAGAGCTGGAGTGGGAGGAGGAGGAGTAGGGGGACGAGGAGGAGGAAGAGGCCTCCAAGACAGCTCCAAGATAGCCGAAGAGGCTTCCAAGAGGGCCCTGGGCGGCCCACGAGGGCCCCAAGGCGGTGCCTGAGGCGCCCAAGACGGCCCGAGAGGGCCCCAAGACGGCCCCAAGAGAGGCCCAAGAAGGGAAACACGAACCGAGAATCCGAGCTTTCTACCCCGAGAGGTTCTCGGGAAGTCCCAAGAGGCCCCCAATCGGATCCAAGAGGCCCCCAAGAAGCTCCCAAGAGGGCCGACGAGGTTCCAAGAGATCTCCCAAGGTGGCCCCAAGAGGCACAACTCATTGTTTTACGATTGGGCTTTGACGGGTTTTAATATTTTCTGCCTTTGGCATCCCGATGCTCCAAGACGGCCCAAGAGGCTTCCAATACCGCTTCCACATCGAGGAAGAGGCCTCCAAGAGGGCCCCAAGACGGCCCGCGAGGGCCCCAAGACGGTGCTTGAGGCGCCCAAGACGGCCCGAGAGGGCCCCAAGAGCCCCAAGAGAGGCCCAAGAAGGGAACGCGACCCAACAGCAGAGCGGTCCCCCCACAAGGCCCACAGGAGGCTGCAAGAGGCCCCCAAGTGGTCCGACGAGGACCCCAAAAGCTTCCCGAGGGCCTAACAGGCCCCTAGGAGACGTCCAAGAGGTGTTAAAATAGCCCAAGACTGCCCTCGATGCGTCAAAACTGCTTCCAGGAGGCCCCCGGGAGGCTTCCGGATTGCCTCAATCTGGCCGCAGGAGGCCTGAAGTCGGGCCTCCACGCAGCCAAGGCGGCCAATGACGGCTTCAGATTGCAGAACCGATGCCCCCAAGGGACCCCCAGACGCCCCCCCAAGAAGCACCCAAGAGGTGCCTCCAACAGCCAGGTGACGAAGCATGCGGAACACCCCAGAAGCTCCTCAGATGCCGTCGCGCGCCTGTGCTTGATAGCGTTGTCCAAGATCGTCCAGCGCCCCCCCCGGCCTGGGCTAGGACCTGAGTGCGCGCGAAGCGCGCGCGATGGTTCTAGTATATGTTATATATATATATATATATATATATATATATATATATAGGTTCATGGGCCCAGGTGTTTCGGACATTGGGGCGCGTCTTGAAACACTCCCAGAGCAATCTTGGGGATTGTCGAACCACACTGTGTCCCCCTGCGGGATCCCCTCCTCGTACCATTCCCCGCCCCCGCCCCCAGTTCTCCCCCTCGCATGTCACTCCCCCCTGGGGAGAGGGGAGGAGAATGATGAGGAAGACAGGGCGAAGGGAGAACGAGCAGGATGAGGAGAAATCTAAGAAAGAAGGAGGGCGACAAAATATGAGGGAAGAGTGCAGGAGAAGGAAACTGGAGGGAAAGGAAAAGAAGCCTGGACCCCCTTCCGATAGGGGGATCGTCGTCATCGCTCATGTTGAATAATATTCAGTGTTTCCAAGTGCATCATATTATATCATAGCTGTTTCAGCTACTAGGAACCATTACTAGTTTGGCACTGCTTTGTGCTACTACCCATTATCACCTTTGCCTCATGATCTTCGCCCATACGGGGGATCCGCTGGCATGCCAGAGGTAGATCAGTTAGTAGTGCAGGCAACTTGTGCGGACACTTCGGAGGGAGCAACAGGGACCAATGGCGGCGGCTGCGAATGGTGGACGGATTATGCTCAGTATTGTGCATATGACTATTTGTACGACGACAGCGACTTCACAGCCGGAGACATGTGCTGCGCATGCGGGGGTGGCGAGGGTGGCGATTCAACGGCTCGGAGCGCTCCTTTGTATTGTCCTCACATGCGTTCGTCTGCCTCTTGGAGTCCCTTGGAGGCTCCTTGGGAGACGCCATGCGCATGATGCGCGTGGCGCGTTTGGTGCATTTCCTTCTCCATCCACCTTCTCTCAGATTCCTACTTCACGCTGCTCTCATGGAAAGTACTGCCCCGCGTGGAGCGTGGATCACACTGATCGCGCTGGCGGATGTAAAGTGGGGTCCTCAGACTGTGATCGTGTCGGATTTGGACCCTTGGACCCGTGCTCACACGAGGTTGTGAGACCGCCCTGGCATACACTAGAACCGAAAAGCGCGCGCGCTGTTCTGGCAAGTGTGCGTTTATTGTAAGCGCGATATGATTATGCTTGTCCGTCACATGTACACGTGCGCATATTTGTATGTACCACGCCCGCCTCATTCAACATCTTATGTATCAATTCGGCCCGCCGCCTCATGGCGCGCCAGTTGGCCTCCTCAGTGCTTGTCCCAATCGAGGCGCCGACGCCCACCAGCCCGACGCCCGCACCCACGCCATCTCCGAATCCGGCCTCGTCTCCCTCTTTCCTTTTTCTGTCTCTCTTCTCCCTCCTATTTTCCCTGCTCCTCATGCCATCTCCCCTCCTTCCTACCTTCTTTATCTCCCTCGTTCTACCCTGTTTCCCTTTTCATCCTCCCTCAGCCCGCCTCCCGATTCCCTGTTCCCCGTTCCTTCCCTCTTCTCTCGTCCCTCCTCCTCCTCCTCCCTACTTCCGTCTTCCCACCTCTCTCCGTCTTCCCTCCTCCCTCTCTCGTCTCATTTCTCCTTCGAAGAATCCCCAATACTTTTCGAGGCGATCTTGGAATGCACCCCCCAAGCGCGTGTGGCCCTCAGAAGCATAAGCCCGAACATGACCCCAAGAGCTTCAATGTTGGCCGACAGGACCCTGCGCTGGCGCTGGAGGGCGTTAAAGGAAGCCTTCCGACTTCACTACCTTTCCGGTCGATGCTCTAGGCCATTGCACCCCGCTAGAGCCCGAGCGCCGCGTGCGAAGCGTGCGCGATGGTTCTGGTATGTGTACGCGTGCAAATATACATGCTTATGCCTACACATATTTATATATGTATATATATGTAATGTGAGGATTTTTCTGTTCATACTCCACGCGCGCTTCAGACTCCGCCTGTTCCTCCAGCTCCTCCACCTCCTCCTATTCCTCTTCAAGTAGCAGTACAAGTGGCAGTTGCAGTGGCAGTAGCAGTAGCTGTAGCAGTCGCAGTAGCAGCAGCAGTAGCAGCGCCGTAGCAGTAGCAGTAGCAGGATGTCATGTTTGGTGGGGGGCAAGTGGAACAGTTCAAACTCTAGTTGGGGCCTCGCGTCGGCGTTGTCGCCGCGGCTGGGGGTGACGTTCGCCCCCCCCTAAACAGTTCGCCGTTCCTCCTCCTCCTCCTTCTCCTCCTCCTCCTCGTCTCCCTCCTCCTCCTCCTCCTCCACCACCTCTTCCTCCTTGTCCTGCTCATCCTCCTCTCTCCTCTCCTCCTCCTCCTCCTCCTCCTCCTCCTCCTCCTCCTCCTCCTCCTCCCGCTCCTCCTCCTCCTGCTCCTCCTCCTGCTCCTCCTCCTGCTCATCCTTCTTCTTCTCCTCGTCTCCATCCTCCTCCTCCATCCTTCTCCTCCTCCTGCTCCTCTTCCTCCTCCTCCTCCTCCTCCTCCTCCTCATCCTGCTCCCATCCCCACTCCTTCTCCTCCTGTTCCTTCTCATCCTCCTTCTCCTCCTCCTCCTCCTCCTCCTCCCCATCCTCCACCTCTTCCTCCTCCTCGTCGCGTCGTCGTCCTCCTTCTGTTCCCGCTTCTCCAAAGAAAAGCACAATGGCCACCAACAGGGCCCCGCAAAGGGTCTCACGAAACTCTCCAACAATCCCTAGGGCCCCTCAAGTTCCTCAGCGGTGTCTCGGAGCAGTCCTGAGGGCACTGGAGGGCCTCGGGGATGGGGGTGGGCAAAACGCGCCCAAGCGGCATTGAGGGCTCTGGAGGGCCCCAGGGGAGGGTCACGCAGCCATTTGTGCTCGAAGGGATGTTGGTGGTGATTCTTCTCGCTACCAGGCTGCTGCAATCTTGTAGCTTGCGAGCGATGGCAGCGGCCAGCGCCAGCAGCGCCCCCACGGGTGCTGACGACGGCAGCCCCGCCCACGTCCGCGAGCAGCCTCCATGGGTGGCGGAGCTGCTCGGGCGCGGGCAGGCCCACATCAAACGTCGCCAGAGCGAGGCCGTGAATAAGATCATTGGGGTCGACGACGATTTCACGGCTACGCTGCCGATCTGGGCAGCACGGGCGATGTAAACGCACACATGCACATTGCCTCCGCCCGCCCCCTCCCAAGGATTGCAAAGAGAGGAAGAATGAGGAGGAGGAGGAGGAGGAGGAGGACAAACAGAAGGGGGATTAGGAGGAGGAGGAGGTGGAAGAGGAGGAAGCGAAGTGGGATGGAGGAGCTGCAGGATGGGAAGAGACGGAAGAGAAGGGCGAGGAGGTGGAAGGGAAAGAGGAGGAGGGTGTTGGAACAACAAAAACAAGAGACTGTCCATCCTCATCCCCCTCCCCTCGCCGCCGTCTTCCTCGCCCCTAATGCTGCTCATTCCAAACGCTTCCCCGCGGGTGCTCGGCGCGAGCGCGATGGCGCTGCCAGCGTGCTGGCCGCTGAAAGGAGTCGTGAAAAAGGCGTACGAGCACTACTACAGGAAGGACAAGGGAAACTTCTCGCTCCCGCCGGCTGGCTTCGTTGTGGAGGTCAGCATCTTCAAGCCGATTGGGGCAGATATGGCGCAGAAGATGCAGCGCGATAACATGGACGTGCTATGCTTGGCGCGGCTGCGGTCGCTGCAGGAAGGGCGACCCGGGCAAGCTGGGAACATTCAAGGAGGCAGCTCAGAAGGTCCCGATGAAATTCACGCAGAGGCCGAACGACAACGCGCGCGCGCTGAAGGTCTACCAGCACAAGGAGGACGAAGAGAAGAACGCGGACATCCTTGGCCATTCTCTCCTCACTCGTGCTCGTGAGTTGGCAGGGCTTCAAGAGCACCTGCGATCCCAGAGGATGCAGTCCAGCCCACCTGCGCTCGAGGACTTGTTCAAATCTGGCGAGATTACCTGGGCGCACGAGGAGGCGACTATGAGCCGGTGCAACATACGGCTGCACCTTCGCATCCTCAAGCACGCGTCGATGGCAGCGTGCAACCCGACCTCCCCGTCGCATGCCGAGTCAGCGCTCTACTTGTTTGATCGCAACGAGGAGATCTGGGGGCGAAAGCACGCCAACATGGCGATGCAAGAATCGACTCGGGCCATGGATCGTTTCCAGAGTGCTGTTCCAGACTTGGGTGATCTACGTTTGGTGGCGGAAACGTATCACGCGATGTTGCTGCGCGGGCATAGCGCGAAGGGGGCGGAGAGGCACGCTTCAGAAACTGCCAGAGCGATCTTGGCCATGACCAAAGTTCCAGGCGCGCTGCTGCCCTGGTATCCCATGTTCGAATCCGTGCTGTCAGTGTAGAACTCGTTGAAGACGTTCCACGTTGCTTACCCGATCGGGCTGGACTTGGATGGCAACGAGGTGCCCGCTATGAACCACGCGCGCCCGATCTTTGGGGCGGGGGCTGCTGAGAAGTTGAATTCGGACATCTTGCTCCCGATCATGCAGTTCAAGAAGTTCGAGGCCTTTTCTGGCAATAGCACCGCCTTGGGCGCCCCCTTCATCGAGGAGATGCTGGCCGAGCTGGATCAGCTCTACCAGATCGAGGTGGCGGGGCGTCGGGCCAAGGAGCGCCAAGTGCGTGGCGATCGCGATGGCGCCGACATCCCAATGCCCTGCGACGGCGACGAGGTGATCTCAGAGGACGAGGCCATGTCCTTGAAGAAGGTGTTCGAGGAAAAAGAGGAAGCAGGAGCTCTTGCGCATGTCTGACGAGTTCCTGAAGGCAAACGTTGTGTTCATGAAATGGGGAGCCACTATAGGGGGGTGAAGTCGAGAAGCAAGCAATCAATGCAGCGGGGGCTTAACGTCTGTGGTTTTTCAATGCAGGAACGGATTTGACGACGGACCCGAATAACAAAGCATCTTCGTGGCGCACGAGGGCGACGCCTGACGAGGACCACACCGCTCAAGTTATCAACATCACGGCGTCGATGATGTCCGAATCAGACTCTGCCATCATGATCAGTGGTCGCAACAAGTTCTTCCATCGTGACGCAAAGAAGATGGCGATGCAGTGCAAGCCGAAACTTGCTGTCAAGGAGTTGGAGATGCTGCCGGACGAAGCCGAGGTCTCGCAGCTCCTGCGCATCGACGCCAGTGTAGTTGGCCTCGTAGACCTGTCCGACCACAACCTGCACGTCATGAAGACCAAGCGCGCTATGGATGCAAAGGAAGGCGTGCCCCGACGATTCGTCCCAGGGAACGCGGCGTTCCGGACCATGGCAGGCATCCCCGTTGTCAGTAGAGACAACATGGTGAAGGTCTCGTTCACCGACCGCGAGGCAGTCTTCAAGCAGGCATGCGGCACCGCGAAGTGGACCCCTGGGCACAAGAACAGGGCCGGCGAGCCCCTGGATATCTCTGACGACGACGATGAGGCGATTGCAGCAGGCGATGAGGTGAGCGACCCGATGGAAACGATCAACGCCACCACGACGCAGACCGCCCTGTTCTGGATGGAGTTGCACGCGCGGGTGCGCTTGCAAGGGTACTTGCAAATTCCCATCGTCAAAAACTGCTTGTAGGGGTCTCGTTTCATGGGGCTAGTATTCGGGCCCAGATCTGTCTGAAAATACGTAACGGTACGCAAATCATTATATACTGTAGTTATCTAGGCGTGGCCGTGGGAAGCCGCGGGCATATCAATCGGCGTAGACCCGCAGAGCGCAATCTCCTCTACGCCCCCAACTCCTGCTCCTCACCTTCTCCCTCCGCCCCCCCCCCCCCCCCTTCTCGTCCTGCAAGAGGGGGGGGGGGGGGGGCGGCATCCACGTCTTGGTAGTGACCTCGATGGGCATTTGCGCGAAGGTGCGTGCTCAATTTCTTTGGGGAGCTGGAGCTCGCGCCCTGGTGAATTTCACGCCAGGGGCCGGGCAGATGATCAAGGCGGCGTTCATGATCAGTGTGAAGTCGATTGCGGTGCGCCAAAATGCCGCGCACGTCAGGGTGCTCCAGGACATTCTCCGCTCGCATCTTCTCGGGGAGATCCAGAAGGGAGGCCCCGCTTCGAGCAAGTCCCCGCCCCGCCGACAGGGATGGGCGCTTGGAGAAGTGCAAGCCTGAGCGCCTCGTGCTCTTCGAGCTGCGGAAGCGGGTTGGGGGCGACGTGGGCCTCATCAGCCCCGAGGCGAAGAGGACTGCGCTGGGGAGCTCGGTCGATCAGATGCTAGCCAGCATGGAGGGTGTCACGTCATCGCCGGGCGCCATAGCAAAGGCCAAGGGCAGGATGCTCAAGGCCTTGGAAGAAGGTTCAACAGCTGGCAAAGAAATCGGCAACGCTTTGATGAAGAGCTAAGGTGTGACACCAACGCCGAGAGA